CAGCCTTGGATATTTTGATTGATAGTCATGATTTACTCCTATTATATTGTTAAAATTTGATTCTATTTTTTTTTTATCATTTTATTCTCGTAAAATGCTATTCACTTTCTTGCACATATTTTTTTAAGTTTGAGTTTAAATGAAGATGTTATAATTTCATTCTGAGGACAAAATAATTTAAAAGAACTATGACAGAGATTGAATTTTAAATTGACGATCCAACATAGACGAGTGTGTGATGTTCATAGTGTTTATATCATTTATTTAGTGCTATATTAGATCAATCTAGTTTGTAGGCATAGTTTTACTTCTTTTTATATCTAAAAAAATTAGTCGTTGAGAAGAAATTTTTGAAGAGGTTTTCAGGAAATAACATGCAGCCTCATTCCAATATATTAACGAGAATTGCAGAAATATAAAATCGTCGCATCTTTTATTCATTCGTTATATTCCATTTATCCACTGGTCACTCTAATTTACGCGTTTTAATTCTTTACCTTCTAGTTTACAAGTCAATTATTCCTCATTTAAAGGAATGTTTGTTTAATGAATTAAGTTATTGTATAAGCAATTTCGTTCTCTTGTTAGTTTTTTTTAACGAATTTATACTGTTCTTTAATAGATGAATGTATTCATTTCTTAAAAATTGGAAAAATAATCACTCTCATAAATCAATCCGTAAAAGAGAAAACCTTTTGCATTTCAATGTAACATATGAAGTATTTGCCTTATTAGTACTTGATTCATTTTTAAAGATGAAAATTTCATTTACCCTTCAAACTTAAAAATGGAAAAATAATCACTATTATATTTTATTCAACATATTCAGTGCATATTAAGTTTTTTTTTCTTTTGCTCGGCTATAAGTAAACTTGTCAAAGAGAAACCTGTTATTTTTTAAGGTAGTATATGACGTATTTGCCTCATTAGTATTTGACTTATTTCTAGAGATATTTGCTTTTTATTTACCTTTCAAACTTAAAAATGGAAAAATAATCACTGTTATATTTTATGCAGTACATATTTTAATAATTTTTTTTTTCTCAACCTACAAATCAATCCATTATTAAAGAAACATACTTCCGCTTTCCTTCCTTGACTCTAATAATGCATTCCAAATACTATAATTTAGTGATATTTCATCTGCGACTCAGTAATTACGACTAATAAATATTTCAAAGGTTTTAATTTTTCACATGCTCCTCGGTCGGTATTTTGAAATCTGGCTAATGAATATTTGAAAATTTTTATCATACAGCATTCTTATTATCCTTTCATATTCACATAGTTGCATGGAAAGGATATATAATTCTTATCAATATGATGTTAATTAATAAGTCAATTCCAGATCATTTTTATAGCTGTTTCAATTGAACTCCTTGTAACTGTGTTGTCTTTCTTTTAATCCTTGCAATTAAATTCTTTCTTATGTATCTACCCTATAAAAAAATTTGGTCCGCTAAGTTGTAAAATTTTCAGGCTCATTATGAATGTTGATTTATGCAAGCAAGCAAGTGAGCTGGCTAACAGTGTCACATTCAACACTATTCTCATTGTTATGATTATCATATCAATTATGGCAGTTCCTCTTGAAATATGGATAGTGTTTAAACAACAAATCGTATTTTACTGCATCAAAATACTCGAATTTTAATTATCACACATCAGCTATGGCTTATTTCCCATTGTATCGTAAGGTTGTTTTTTCCTTTTTCCAGATGTTCAAAAATTAAAATTTCACCATTTTTCTACAACCACCTACAGTAATGTAAAGTTTCTTCAATTCTTTCAAATCCTTCAAGTGATTAATCAGTTAATCATC